ACTGAGCTCTGTCTATGGGCCGTTACCAGACCAAATATTTACACATGTAGGATGCATTGCCAGGTTTGCATTCTTTTACAATGCAATATTTCACACTTTCTGTCTTTTCCCAGAACATGTGTAAATTTAGGTGTGGCAGCCATCTTGAATCCTTCTGATTCCAAGAGTTAATCCCTTGTTATTACTATTTGGATTTTTTTGGTTAAATCGATTATTTGACATCAACAGAAAAACATTTTGATGCTTGATTTGACCATGAAACCGTTTCAAGGACACTTTGGTAATCTGATCAAGCTTTACTGCATGAACTTTTGCTCAGGCTATTACGTTTTAAACTCAAATCCCACACTGGAGGTCCTAAATCAACGCATCAACGTAACTTATTGTGCTGCAAAGCTTCCTTGTTCCCATATTCTCACGTGGCTTCTGAGCAGCAAAAGAAGCCTCGTCTAACAATCCTTGGGAATTGCTTTGCTTGAGCTGCATATTGTCAGAGGAGACTTGTTGCCAAGAAACAAACAGGAACGTTTGTTTGGTCCTATAATCCTGTGACAAACCTAAACGGGCAACACTTCCTTCAATCCAGCCTCGTTCGCAGGGATGATTTGATGAAAAGTTGCACCACACACAAAATTCTCAACTTGAGAGTAAATTGCAGCGCTTCCCTCGAGTGTGTGTTTACTACCATGTGGTCATGACATGTGTGAAGCGTGATGTCACTGGCAGGAGATCTTCTTTTGTCGTCTCAGCCAATGAGGGAGCTGTGGAGAAAAAGGAGGGGACCACGAGGCATGCTGCTGTTAGGCAGAAGAGAGCAATCTGGCAGGAGATGGGCTTTCCAAAGTGACGGCAGAGGCATTAGCCTCCCATAAGCTCTTGACACCTTTCCAGTGATTGAAAGCTCTAAACTCCTTGCATCCTTCTGCACTTTCTACTCTTTTTTTATCTCTTTCTTCTTGCATTAAACTGGCTGAATGTGTGAAGTGCAAATAGACAATTCTGCAAGGTAATCCCACCAGCGAGTGACATTTCTGAGTGTTTTGCATCTGCGTTTTCAAACACTGAGTATAAGATAGGATCAGAAGGAGTGTGTGTAACAGATGCATTCAAATACAATACCCACTGTTGCCATGGGGACAGCAGCATGCTTTTGCGGGAACCAGGGTTATCATGAGTTCAGTTTAATGTGAAAAATACAACTTAGCATGCTCATGTGCAGTAGTTGACTTGTCAGTCACCTCTTTTGTTAAAGTATTTGCACTTTCACAAGTTCACCACTAGATGGCGATGTAAAAAAAACAGGGAAGGGTGGTGACATGCCCGCGACCCTACATGGACAAGTGGGTTCAGACAATGGATGGATGGATGGTGATATGGAGAGCAAACTCATAACAAATCATGGTGTAGGATGAAAAAGCAGTTTGGTGATCTAATTTTGATGTCCTCTACGTCAGAATTTCTTTCTAAACCATTTGAATATGGGTAAACGTTTCAACAAACTTCAAACGTCTCCATATTTGAGAAGACAAAAAAGTCCAGCTGATGTTCTTTCAGTTTCAGAAAACTTTCTGTTCCAGCCGAAATAGAGCATCTATAGTGGAACCCTCCCCCATGTGGCCACATGTGAAAGTTAGACGTGGCTGTTCACAGAAGCCACAATAACTGAGGCGTTAGCCTGGAATAGTCTGAGCTGAAGGGCTGTTCTCGCTGCTTATGGAGGCTCACGTTTGCCAGGATGATTTAGAGGTGCAGCAGGGCTGCATGGGTGATGGAGCTGGAGAGAAAGAAGCTATTGTGGATGATTGTGTCTGTTTCCAAAGTGCATTCCTCACCATAGCATGTATCTGATTGGAGTTTTATTTAGGCATGCCATGTGCAACAGGAACAGCAGAGACCCAGTTTAAGGTTTTTGACTTTACAATCGATGTGGTCTTTAACCTCTGTCGCTGTTTAAAAGCAGAGATCAGAGACAAGGACAATCCTGTCACAGTGCCAAAACTTTAGCTCCTCCACATTCGCTGGAGTGTTTGTGGGAGCACTGAGCTACAAACAGCACGTCAGAAAGTGAGATGGGAGATCAATGATGGCTGGCAGGCACTGTCACACTGTGTTTTTCCTCTGCCCTACAGTCATTGTCCTGCCTTACTTAAGAAACACACACACACACACACACACACACACACACACACACACACACACACACACACACACACACACACACACACACCTCAAATCTTTTCAACTGACATCTTTTATATAGCATTGCTTTCTTATGGGTTATTTTTCCCGCAGACGTAACTGTCTATATTTGAAGCAGCAAAAATACATAAAAGCTCTACTTAACGTTGATTCTTTTATCTTTAATTGTTTCTTCATTTTTTCCAAAATGATCAAATCTGAAAAAGCAACATCTAGCCCATTCATTTCTTTAACTTTATTTTAGTCACTATTGTTTTTTCAGAACTTAATGTAACTATTCAAAAACACCACTTCTTAGGGGCGTGTCTGTTTGATTGACAGGTGGCAGATGAGCTGTTAGCACTAGCTTTTAGCTTACGGCCGCCCTGCTCTCTCCAGAGAAGACCTCAGCTTCAGCCTCATGTTAAAAATGGTAAATGGCCTGTATTTGATATAGAGACATTTAGAGTCCTGGGACCCCCCCAAGGCACTTTACAGCACAATCACTCATTCACCCATTCACACACACATTCACACCCTGGTGGTGATGAGCTACATTGTAGCCACAGCTGCCCTGGGGCGCACTGACGCAGGTGAGTCTGCCGTACTCAGGCGCCACCGTTCCCTCCGAACAGCACTGGCAGGCAGTCTTGCCCAAGGACTCAATCACAGCAACAGACTGTTGAACCTGCAACCTTGTGATTACAGGGAACACTTACCTCCTGTGCCACAGTCGCACTGACGGTGTTACAGTGCAGGAGGCATAAGGTAGCAGAGTTGCTGAGCAGCTGTTTTCTGGCTAAAAGACCCCACAACCCTGCATTAGCTTCAATTAGCGTCGTTAGCTCATAGCTACACTGGCCCAGAGTTTGATGGGGATCAACCATCTGACCCCACCCCTTTTTTGTATTTTTCGGGAGTGATGACATGTGACATGGCCAAGATGGTGCTGGTATACTGCATAGATCTTCAATTCAGCTCTTCAGATACCTACGGTTGAAGGTTTGTCCATATCATATACAGTCATTGGTTTAGAGTGACCATATTTAGATTTCCTTAAAGGAGGACACCTGGTGTACACTGCTCGGGGCCTTGCAGTTGCTGATGTCACACTATGGCAACACCTCTTAGGTAAACTACATAGTGCCCATTTTTTATCCAGCTCAGAAAAAATCATATGTACATTTTTGTTTATTTATATAATTTCTTTATGGTGCGCCATCTGGGACTGTTTATTGGACCAAATATCAGTGGTATAGGGATTGCTGTATTTCTTTATAGCATAAAAGTTGTCCATATTTCCTACAAAGAACTACAACCCACAAAAGACTTCAACCCTGAGCAGATCTGGCAACCTGATCACATTATGTGTAACTCCTGCAATTAGTTGGCACCACCCAATCACATCAGTCAATTTAAATACTGGTGACCTGAAAAAAAAAGAGATTGTTTCATCAATCTTTGAATTCCCCAGATAACCTTGAGAAAGCAAGAAAAGTGGACATTGCCACAGAAGTAATGATGTTTGTTCAGTTATTGGATTAGAAATTTTTATTGCCTAAATTATGTTTATAAAAAACGGTTTTGTATTGTTATGGTTGCTCATTGGAACTAGTCTACAGTGATCCCTCGTTTATCGCGGTAGATGCATTCCAGACCTGGCCGCGATAGGTGAAAATCCGCGAAGTAGGGACTCCATATTTACAGTATTTATTTAGCAGGTACGTATTCAGTATTCAGACTTTTAAAACCCTCCCTTTACATAGAAAAAAAAATTACTGTTTTTTTTTATAGTTTTATTACAAAAAGTGCATTTTATGATGAAATTGATGAAAAAAAACAGCAATTTCTTGATATTTCGCATAGAAAAATACCGTGAATCGGTGAAAAATACCGCGAATCGGCGAATTTCCCTTGAATAAGGCTCCAAAGAAAAAATCCGCAAAGTCGTGAATCCGCGATAAACGAACCGCGAAACGAGTGATCACTGTATTCCTAAATCTTATTTTTAAAGCTAGCAGTTTTATCTACAATTGGTAACATCCAGCCTTTAGTTTGATGAAAACCCTATTACTTTCTTGGTCTTAGAAAATAGACGAATAAATTAAAAATAAATAAACAAATAGATAAATACTAAACAAATTAAACAAATAAGCAACAAAATAAAAAACCAATAAATAAATAAATTAAAACTAAAAATACAAATACATAAATAACTAAATTAAAAACAAACAAATAATAAATAAACAATTATTGATATACTATGAAATACACTTAAAAGTAAACTGAGTGTCCAAAATTTGTCCTTTTTGATTGACAGTGTAGGGCCACAAAACTGCTCCGAGGACCGCTAATGGCCCGCATGCCCCACTTTGAACACCACCCCCTGGATTCAGCCTAATCTGAAATGAAAAGCAGCATTTCCAACAGGAGCGGAGATGGTTTTTAGATCCACGTAGACCTGCTACAGGTGCTCCACATCTCATGAGCGGCGCGCGCTCCGCCCTCTCCGCTCATTCGCTCCTCTCAGGCGCCCGGATGTAGCGCACAGGAGCGCACAGTCCTCCGCTCAGAGATAATAACATGGCGCTGGCAGACACGTAGCGGAGCGCATCGCTGTAATAGCCCCCAGAGAAACAGACCAAAAAGCATAACGACGGGACATGTGAGCTCCTCGACCGCATAACGAGCAGGTAGGCGTGTTCATTTATAAAGATGCGCTCTTTGATGGTGAAAAGAAATAAAGAGGCTGCTGCTTCTTGTTGCAGGGGGCAAAAAGCCGCTCTGGTCATTCTGCTTATCGGTTTAGTTTGTGTCCATACCTTTTTCTGCTCCCCCAATACACTCATTAAAACAGCAGCGTCATCCTGGGCAGCCTCGCGCCTCTGCTTACGACGCATCCGTGCAGAAATAAATCTGTCATTTTTCCAGTGCATGTGTTGTCATGGCTGTCAGGCTCTCCGTGCGTCGACCGCTGTCCTTGGTGTTGAAATGGGTGGGCGCCACACGGGTCTGCGTGTTGCAAACAGTTCCGTGTGTGAGTGCAAGTCCAGGCTTTTGTGCTTTCGTTTAAAACAATCATGCTTAATCAAAGAGCAATGGTTGGCAAAGCTGGAGGTCGAAGGAGAAATCAGCCCAGTGCATCTGTAGCTGCTCGGTGGTGAGTTGATAGCATCAGCAGACTGTTAGTGATGCTGGATTTCCTTGTTTTTTCACCATAACATCATCATCTCTCCTATATTCACCCTGCTGCATGACAGTGATGCAGACAGTCTCAGGATTTATGAGATTTATATTTATATATACAAATATATTCATAATTTTTCATAAAGCCAGTGGCTGAATGTTATTGGGCTAATGTAGGCCAAGTAAGAAATGGTGTTTAACTGGATGAAATGCATTAAACGGCTGTGCACTATATGGTTCTCCCCTTATAAGCTCCTTAAATCCCCAAAGAAACACCTTTTATAGGTGAGTAAAACAAATGGTGCTGCCCCGAGGCCATAAACACAACACACATGCTAAAATCTAAAATATAGCAATTTTTATATTTCTTATGTGTATTTTTTATGCGAAAAAAGGAAAATATTTGTTGTTTTTTAGATTCTATTGCAAATTTTTGTCTATTTTCTATCTGAAAGAGACAGTAACTGAATATCTTTGAAATCAGAAATCAGAAAAGGTTTATTGCCATTGTCAGTGAACAAGCAGTTCACAAACTAGGAACTTGTTTTGGTACTAATGCATATAACGTGAATAATAAATTTCAAAAATAGAATAAGTAGAATAAAATATAATAAAACTAGCATAAAACATTCAGCTATAAAAAAGGCAGGTAATGGTAACATGGCCGATAACGTGACATTATGTCAAGTACAGCAGACGAACTTGGTTGTGTATTTATAAGCTGTTCACAAGTCTAACGGCAGATGGAAAGAAGCTGTTCTTATGGCGGGAGGTTCTGGTCTGGATGGACCGTAACCTCCTGCCTGAGGGAAGCGGCTCGAAAAGTCTGTGTCCCGGGCGCGAATGGTCAGCTGCTATCCGACCTGCACGCCCCCGAGTTCTGGAGACATACAGGTCCTGGAGAGATGGAAGGCTGCAGCCAATCACCTTCTCAGCAGAGCGCACAATGCGCTGCAGTCTGTGTTTGTCCCTCACTGTGGCTCCAGCGTACCACACAGTGATGGAGGAGGTGAGGATGGACTCAATGATGGCCGTGTAAAACTGCACCATCATCTGGGCAGGCAGCTTGGCCTTTTTCAACTGCCGCAGAAAGTACATCCTCTGCTGGGCCTTTGGGGTGGCTGACTACTGATTGAACAGAAACAATACATTCATAAAAATATAAAGTTACCTTGTTGGGAGATTTGGTAAATGGTCTGTATTTGTATAGCACCTTCTTAGGGTTCTACAACCCCCCAAGGCTCTTCACAACAAAGTCGGTCACACACACACACACACATTCACATGCTCGTGGGGAGGATACGATGTGGCTACAGCTACCCTGAGGCACACTGACAGAGGTGAAGCACCACCGGTCCCTCCGACCACCACCAGTAGGCAAAGTGGGTTAAGCGTCTTGCTCAAGGACACAACAGCAGCATTCTCTGGTCGGGTCCGGTATCCAACCTACAACATTGGTGAACAACTCACTCTTCCTCCTAAGCTACTGCTGCCCACACATGACATATTTCTTGTTGGACGCTCAAAACAATCGATATCATGCTGAGAACATGCTTTTTTAAAAGATTCTCCAGCATTAATTCACTTTTTAGTCAATTAAGGCAGCAGATTAGGGCCTCCCAGAATATCCGCTGCTTTGTGTTGCAGATTAATGAACAATAGAAGAATAACGAAGCTATTATTGATATTGGCTTTGGAAACAAGCAAACGCACAAAAAAACACAGCAATTTTATGAGATAAACTCTAATTGCTGCATGATTGAGCTAAACTTTAAATTGTGCAATCATAGATAATACACCGTTACCAACCCCAGTTTAGCAGAAAATATAAATGAATGGAATTGTTTGTCATTTTTTACTGGGGAGTACAATTTTATTATTTTAAGTCCAGCTATGACATCACTGATGACGTTGTGAGCTAGACGCTAGCTCGCCAAGGAGAGATTTGAGGGTGCTATTGATGTTTCCTTTAGAGATGATGGGGTGTGTTTTTGTAAAACCCTAAAACACGTTTAAGCTGAGACGATGCAGTCGCCTGCTTGCACCTTAACCACGTTTTAAGCACTCAGTAATGTATTCAGTGCCAGCGTCGAGCACAACAGCTTTACATAATGATCAAAGCTTGAGGGGTGCCGTAGCACTGCTTCAGCCCGCAGTAATAATAATAATAATAATAATAATAATAATAATAATAATAATAATAATAACCTTTGAAGTCCTCACAATCCCACAACCTCGTTCCCCTTACTCTCTAGTCCTCATTCTCTCTCCATCTCGTGAACACACACCCACACACACACACTTGCATGAGATCCTCTTCTGTGGAATGTTTTTGGATACGGGGTGCGCTCTTCTCTTCAAAGAGGACGGCGATAATCAACGCTATTTTGGTCTCTGTGGGTCTGCACCAGGATGCTCTGCCCGTCCACAAGGAGGCAGTTTCTGTTTCTCACACAAGTCCTCGGTTACGTAAGAGTCAGAGGGAGTCTGAGTAACGTAGCCAGAGGAAGATGAGCTACTTCACTGTGCATGCCGAAGAACGTCTTTTCTTCTCAGAGTTCAAGACTGACTCCACGTGTGAGGAATGTGAGAATGTACAATTGTGCAAAGAAGTAGGAAACAAAGTGGGGGAGTTTTCTGTTTGCAGGGGAGGATGAGCTGCAGCTCAGGAGGTGCGGATGAAAGGAAAAGCAAAAACTAGCTGGAGACAAGTCACTGGAAGAAGGACATGTCCATCGTTCTGTGCAGAGGGACTTGCCTTATCTTGTGCTTTTTGTGTGTAGCCAGTCTGAATGCCGAACCTCACTTAAGATCTCAGCGCCTCAGTGCCAGTATTTTGCATTTTGCTGTCTTTCTTTTTCAAAACGAGTTGTGTTTAGATGCGGAGGCAAAGGGAGAATGACAGAGATGTCATAGCAGCAGAGGTCGGATGAAGAGACAGAGCGAAGCTGTGGGCTACACCTGTCAGTGACTGATAGAGTTGTTGGATCATGTCTTTATAGTGTCACAAATCCAATTGACACGCGTGTGGTGGACAAATACCTTCAATTCATTCATAATAAAGAAATAATAATCTGTATCCTCCCACATGTGGATTTATACCTTTATCATATTTGCTTGTATCAGCTTGGAATGGATTGTCCTGTAATTTAAATTTAATTAATTTTGCATCACATAATAAGGATTTAAAATGAGTTAATAGATAGAAAATTGCTAAAATCCAGTTCCAAACTGACCTGCAACTGGAGAGTGTTTTTAAATGTGCAGAAACACTTTCGGAGGTTCCTAGAGTCCTCATACACATCACACTACCTTGCACTAGTTTTTAATGTTAGCAGGACAAATTTTCTCTTTAAAATTGTCACAGAGTCTATTGACAGAACAAGTATTTGATTTTTTTTTTACTTAAGTAAAAGTATAAACGAGGGCGGGACAAATTACTAAAGTAAAAGTGTACTCGAGACATTTTTGACTTAAGTAAAAGTATTAAAGTATGCATTTTTAAATGCACTTAACAGCTCTTGGAGAGTACAGACGCTTTTTTCCTCCTCTCCTCCCTATCTTATCCCAAGGCTCTTTGTCTGTCTTTGGGTGGACGGCGCTTCTGCATTTTTTCTGGAAACTGGAAATTATTAAAAATGGATCTGGTCTGTTGGTCTCTCAACGCGACTGACAAGATTTTTTCAACGATGAGAACGGGAGAAGGAGCTCCCGGTTGCCCCTCTGGGACAGAGCCAGTTGGGCATATCATGGACTCCTGGAAACAGTGGAACCTGATCTGCCTCTCCCAACTGTCTGTAGAGGATTCTGAAGACGTCTGGATATTCGTGGTGTTGGTGTTGGGATTCCTGCTGTTTGGCCTGAGTGGTTATCCGGCTTAACGGAAAATTAAAGAGCTTTCGAGGAATATTGGCTCAATCCTGGAGCTCAGGGATGGATTACACCGCGCTGTGCACGCACAAACTCATATAATTGTCGACATGAGTCATAAGCTTGGAACTTTGGCTGAGATTCAGGCTCTGACACAGAAAGTGGATTTGATCAAGGAGAGAGTTGACGGGTCAGCACGGATTGGGATTGATTAACTACGCCATTATTGGATCTAGAGGGGTTGGAGACCAACAGAACTCAGAGTCAAGAGAGGAAATTATCTCTGTCCGGCCCCAAAACAAGTTCTTATCTGAATCTGGTGCCCTTGGAGCCTGTGAGGCTGAAGTGATTACTCCCCCTCAGAAGAAATGTGGAATGCTGCCGTCGCCATAGCAACTCTGTCTCCCTATCCCAACCTGGGCGGGACTGAGACCGGTGAATGTTGTGGAACCGTTTCCAGGAGTCACTGTGCTTTCTAACCCAACTACCTCCCTCCCCTGTCCAAACGGAGGTGACGAGCGCTGCTCATCGCAGCTGCATGCACTGATGTGAGGAGAGTCCCAATCCTACGTCCCCACCTAGTGGACACTTATGTTGTGTAATGTATGAAGTCTGTGTGCATTTCTGTCTGAGGTGTTTTTTGCAGAGCAAAGCTGCCCTCCCTGTGGAGGGTAACTCTGAAGTGCCTTTTTTTTCCTCCACCTGACTCAATCCTCATGTAACCCTCTGATCTCTATTAAGGTAAAGCGACTCGAGCTGCGAATGACCACAGTCACCAATTCATGTCATGTGTCCTAGCCTATGTATGTATGTCTGATCTCAGAATTGTGTGTACTAAAACTCTAATTTACCTCTGGGATTAATGAAGTATCTTTGAATTGATTTGAATTGAATATGCGTGTCGAAGCATGCTGTGAGATTTGGATCTGCAGGCTGGTCTGCTGCATTGGACTGGTGGTGGGAGGGCTGGACAAACACAGCAAACAAATGAA